AAGAGGGGAAAAATAAAACATACAAGACGTCTGTCAGCAGCTGTGCCGCTGAAAGTCACCCAACAGGAAGAACAGGCAGCCAGCGAGACGGAAACTGCAGGGCAGGGCAGCAGAGCGGCAGGAGCACCAGGGCTGATGCGGGCACGGATGCCACTGGAGCACGATGGCCCGGCTTCTCTGCCCATGACCCCATCATCAGCACACGCAGTCAGGTCTGGCTAACACCGAGCCCCAGTAGCCCAGCAATAGCAATGGGTCCATCAGACTAGGAGAACGGAGTCCCTAGGACCATGTGAACTCAGGCAGCCATGACTTGGGTGGCAGCACACCCCACGAGGCGTGTGGCTTTTGGTTTTTGCACACAGTAAGACTTTTTCCACTTCTGCAGAGTTGTATGACCTACAAGGATTCGAATGACCATTGAGGAAATTAGAGGGCCTCTGGAGAATTCCACCTTGCCTTTCTGCGTTCCTGGATTGGTCTTGTGGATCTGTACTTGACCTTCTCAGGTGAGCTGGGACAACGTGTCCCCAGGGAGAGAGGCCTCTGATGTCCCCCGGGGCGGGTATCTGCAAGGCTCATGGAACCCTTTCCAGGAGTGTAAGAAACAGCTCCTGACAGCAGCCCCAGCCGCCACGGCCACTGCCGCTGGCTGGCTCAAGTCCATCCAGCTCAGCAAATCTGCATACCGCACTTCTGTGGGGACTACTGCTCTTGATTTAATTAATAGTTTGTTTGTTTACATAATTTTCCTCAGGAAGGACTATTAGCACATCAAAGGACGTTAAAAGTATCCTTGGTGACGATGCAGTGACTACAAACCTAGTCCATCACTCTGTCAGGTTTAACACACGCTGCTCTGGTGCGCTGGCCTCTCCCTGCCAGGCGGCCCGTGGACGTCCACAGCCAGCACCGCGGGACAGCAATAACGCAGGCCCAGTCGGTGCACGAGTGGATGGCGAAAGGCCCAAATCATTTCTTTTTTTTTTTTTTTTTTTGATAGGCAGAGTGGACAGTGAGAGAGAGAGACAGAGAGAGAAAGGTCTTCCTTTGCCGTTGGTTCACCCTCCAATGGCCGCCGCTGCAGCCGGCGCACCGCGCTGATCCGATGGCAGGAGCCAGGAGCCAGGTGCTTTTCCTGGTCTCCCATGGGGTGCAGGGCCCAAGCACTTGGGCCATCCTCCACTGCACTCCCTGGCCACAGCAGAGAGCTGGACTGGAAGAGGGGCAACCGGGACAGAATCCGGTGCCCCGACTGGGACTAGAACCCGGTGTGCCGGCGACACAAGGTGGAGGATTAGCCTAGTGAGCCGCGGCGCCGGCTCCCGAATCATTTCTAGAATCAATCTCTCTTCACATTCCCCCAAACCTGAAGCATGCTGGAGGCTAGTGTTTGACTTCTCCCTCCGCCCACTGGACAGCTCTTGCCGAAATCCTGCATCTCAGGGGAGCACTTTGGAAAATGTTTTCAGAACACACATTTTCATAGCACTCCAGGGAAAGAAAAAAAAAAGGCGAGTCTCTGACATCAAGGTGAGGGTTTCTGCTCACTCCACTCTGCCCCATCTCTCACAGCAAAGAAAGGGAAAACGGCAAGTCTCCCTGAACTTGAGGAGCTACCCGAGGGCTCAACCCAAGAAAGAAAATGTACCTCTGGAAGCAGATCCTGAATGAGAAAGTCTGGCAGGTTCCTGACCTTTGACCCATGGGTTAAGACACCTGCAGGGGCTGGCGCTGTGGCGTAACCGGTAAAGCCGCTGAATGCAGTGTCAGCATCCCATATGGGCACCAGTTCGAGTCCCGGCTGTTCCACTTCTGATTCAGTTTGCTGCTGTGGCCTGGGAAAGCAGTGGAAAATGACTCAAGTGCTTGGGCCCTGCACCTGTGTGGGAGACCCAGAAGACGCTCCTGGCTCCTGGCTTCAGATCGGTGCATTTCCAGCCTTTGCGACCATTTGGGGAGTGAATCAGCAGTTGGAAGATTTCTCTCTCTCTCTCTCTCTCTCTCTCTCTCTCTCTCTGCCTCTGCCTCTCAAATAAATAAATAAATCTTTAAAAAAAAAAGACACCTGTAACCCTGATCGGAGTGCAACCCACCTCCAGCTCCTGACTCCAACTTCCTGCTGGTGCACACCCTGGGAGGCGCTGGTATCAGCTCATATAATGATGTTCCTGCCACTTTCATAGGAGTCCTGAAGTGAGTCCCTGGTTCCCAGATTTGCCCAAGACCAGCCTCAGCAATTGTGTGCATTTGAACCAGTAGATCAGAGGTCTCTTTCTTTATGTCTGTCTCTCTCTGCCTCTCAAATAAATATTTCATTTTAATTGATGCAGGTTAAACAACACAAGGTGACCCTATGATATTCACCTCAGGGAGGGAAAGGTTTTTTTCTCTCTCTCTTACTCTCTCTGTTTTTTTTTTACTTATCATAAACTTCTTTGGCCTTTCCCGGGAAATTTTGGCAGCCTTTGGTCTATTTTTAATGATTAAAACAACTTCTTTAGCTTAAAAAGCTGTTTTAGTTGTGAATGTATAACATTTATTCTTGTTTTCTTATACAGAGGACAATGAATATAATTTTATGGGATTTTTTTGGTCATCAATTGTTACGTATGCGACAGGCCTTATAACCTGGACATTGAAGAATTAAGTCCAGAAATTTAAAAATCCATCACCAAGGCATCCAACCAGACTCCTGGAGTGGGAGGGCAGCATTGCCCCTTGCGCAGCCAGCATGCATTCCTGTTTCACCTTGCTGTCAGGACGTGGACTCACTTCTGGCCTCTGCCTGCCCTGGGGGAGTCTGGCCTCAGCCGTGCCTCCCATCTGACTTTCTCTGGGGGAGGCTGATTTGGTCACCTCCAGCACCTGCCAGTGATTGCCTCAGAAATGAGTAGGTGATAGTTTGAACTAATGGGGAAATAGAAACATTTTCTGGAAACCTCCGGGGAAAATATTCCAACCCTCAGAGTATCTCCAATCACGGCTATGCCCAGATGTGAGGCCAAGGGCTCCAGCTTCCTTGCTACTGGACCTAGGAAGAAGTTTTCAAGTAGGAAGAGAGCAAAGCTGAGAGCACTACAGAGAAATGGAGCTGACACCGCTAGGTTCCATCATTCTTGTTTTTTTTGTTTCAAGACTTATTTATTTATTTAAAAGAAAGAGTTACAGAGAAAGAGAGAGAGAGAGAGAGAGAGAGAATGATCTTCCATCTGCTGGTTCATTCCCCAAGTGACCACAATGGCTGGGCTGGGCCAGGCTGAAACCAGGAGCCTGGAACTCCATGCTGGTTCCCAACGTGGGCAGCAGGGGCCCAAGCACTTGGACCATCTTCCGCTGCTTTCCCAGGTGCATTAGCAGGGAGCTGGATCAGGCGCTCATACAGGATGCAGGCGTCACAGGCCGCGGCTTAACCTGCCATACCACGATACCAGCCCTGGACTGCACCATTCTCAAAGCCTGAAGTACCTTTTAACCTCAGGTTTTTGAGTCACACATTATCTTGTTTTATAAGCAGGCTGAAGGTTTCTGTTGCTTACACATAAATGCTTTTGAATATTTTGTTAAATTTTTACTATTTGAGAGCAGGGGAGAGAAAGAGAGAGAGAGAGAGAGGCTCACAGTGGCTGAGGCTGAACTGAGGTGGAAGTTGGAGCCCAAGAACTCAGTCTGGGTCTCCCACATACAGGCAGCAGGACCCAGGAACTCAAATCATCCCGTGCTGCCTCCCAAGGTCTGATCACCGGGGAATCTGTAATCGGGAACAATGCGGGAACCCAGGTACTCTAATATCGGTTGTGGGCTTCTTAACCTGTGTACTAAGCATTAGGTCAAAGTCCCAACCCCTGTAATCTTAACTAATACAATAACAATAAGAAAAAACGTCTTAATAATGAAGATGAAAAAATTGCCTACATAAAGGAAGAATGGAATATTACCTAGCGGGTGAAAAGATGAGAAGCTGCCCTCTGACATAACCAGGATGGCTTCCTCCAGTGTAAGGGACTGAGTTCAGAAACAACTTAGCAATGGACCTAGAGCACGGCCATCCTGCAGGAGAGTTTGAATATGACCAGGCCAAGTGATCTAAAATATTGGAAACAAGCACCTCTCTGGGCCCTAGCACAGGACCTTCTGAAGAGAATGAAGTAGACCCAACCTCACATGTGGTTTAAAATGATCCTCAGCACGTCCTGATCGAGACAATAGCAACTGCTCTGGAAGCTTCAACAATTGCAAGTGGAGGGGCCTGGGCTGGAGGACGGTTCATCTAAAACGCGGAAGCCAAGACCAGCTTCGGGCATGAATCAAAGTGGAAAACTTCAAGGAACTGGGGAAGAGTTCCTTCCCATCTGAAATACCTCCCTCCAATCTCTGGTGTGTGATGTCACAATAACTCAGGAATCAAGACAGCCCCTTAGCAAGGGCAGATAAAAGGTCTCGAGTGCACATTTCCATGGGAGCGCTAATATGCTGCTAAAAACTCTAGTGGACATGAATTTAATTCTGTCTCCCTAGTTCTAGAATATAAGCTTTCTGAGGGGGGCTGGCACTGCGGTGTAGTAGGCTAAGCCTCCACTTGCGGCTCCAGCATCCCACACGGCCACTGGTTTGATTCCTGGCTGCTCCACTCACAATCCAGCTCCTTGCAAATGGCCTGAGAAAGCAGTGGAAGATGGTCCAAGTGCTTGGACCCCTGCACCCACGTGAGAGATCCAAAAGAAGCTCCCAGCTCCTGGCTTCAGATGGGCCCACCTCTGGCTGTTGTGTCCATTTGGGGAGTGAACCAGCAGGTGGAAGACCTTTCTCCCGGTCTCTCCCTCTCTCTGTCTGTAACTCTGCCTCTAAAATAAACAAATAAAATCTTAAAAAATAAAATAAGCTTTATGAGGCCAAGGATGTTTTTGTATTGTTCACTATTTTATCCCTAGTATCAGAATGGTGCCGAATTCCACAGTATGTGCAAAATAAACATTTGTGAATGAATCAGTGACACATACCTGAGTCCAAGAGCAAGATGTGCAAAGAAGAGAATCCCGAGAGCACTGAGTAACTGGAAGAGATCAAAGGAAAAGTGGGCCACGCAGAAGCAACAGGGCAAGACAAAGGATAAAGGGTGGAAAAGATTATTGTCTTTTCCTTTAACAGAGAACCACACACAGTACTTGAACCACACTCACCTTCACACTCTCTGTCCACCCGTAGCTTGTTCTCTAAGCATCAATCCCCCTTCAAAACCAGAGATGGACTTATCATGAAGCTGGTGAAGCTTACACTTCAGTGTCCCTTAGCTTGATCAGAGGGATGGCAGAGTACCCACCTGCCTCGTGTGTTTTACAAGACTTGTACCTGCCAGGTACTGCAGTCACAGTAGTTCAGACTGCTGTCTCTTTGCCCTCCAACTTCTCTGGTGGCCTCGCAGTGTTGTGCAGCCAAGTGGAACTGGAGAGATAAGCAAGTTAGGGTGTAGTGCAGGGCTGGGGGAAGTTTTTTCTGCTAAGGGCCATTTGGATATTTATAACATCATTCATGGGCCATAAAAAATTATCAACTTAAAAATTAGCCTGCTATAGATTAATTGAATTTCAAGTCCCACCTGCGGCTGCCTTGGCAGGGCCAGACCAGATGATTCTGTGGGCCTTAGACAGTCCGTGGGCTGGACGTTCCCCACCCCTGGTGTAGCTGGGACATATTCATGGGATTTCCAATCACTCGTTTGTATAATTATTTCTAGCCATCTTATTGTAAGATTGGCTTTTGGAAAGATGTTAACAGCTCACCGTGGAAAACCAGCTGGTGTCAAAAGTGGCAAATCTACATATTGTATCACAACATGAATATGCGTAAGACCCTGGAGGAGGACAATCAGGGTTAGAAATGGATGGACCGAAAACCTAGTCTATGGGTGATTTTGACACATTGTAACAGAGGATTACTTATAAACAATACTTAGTAACAATGGGGTTCTCTCCTACTGGGAGCAATAGGGAAGATGCACTGTGCTTCTGCACTACACAATAGAAGTATGTTTATATATTTGTGTTTAAAGTCATTAGAAATTATTCTGACATCCAGAAGTAAACTAGAATAAAAATTACAGATCATTCTAAAAGTAGGAAATCATTGCTATGGTTTCCATATGGTTTGAGTGTGTCCCTTGTGTCCCTCAAAGGCTCATGTGTTGGAAACTTGGTCCCCAGTGCAGCAATGTTAAGAGGTAGTAGGTCCTTTAAGAGGTGGGGCCAAAAGGGTAGGTCTTTGGTATACCCGAAAGACACCTGCATCCCATACTGCATGCTCGGTTCAAGTCTATATTCTGCTTCTGATTGTAGCTTCCTGATATGTCCCCTGGAAACAGCTGCTGATGGCTCAAGTACTTGGGTCCCTTCTACCCACGTGGGAGAATCTGCCTGAGTTCTGGGCTCCTGGCATTGGTCTGACCCAGTCCTGAATATTGTTGGCATTGGAGAATGAGCCAGCATATGAAAAATCTCTGTGTCTGTATCTCTCTCTCCCTCCCTCCCTTTCATTCTTTCTCTCTCTCTCTGCCTTTCAAATCAAATGAAAATAGATAAATTTAAAAACTTCTAAAAGTCTGGCCTTGTGAGAGGTGGTTAGATTGTTGCAGGTGCTACCCTTAAAGGTTGATCAAGAGTGGGTTTTTATAGAAAGAGCAAGACCAGCCCCTCCCCACTCTCTCTGGCTCCTGTCTCAGTGTGCTCCTGTCCAGATGCCACCCACATGCTGTGATACAGCCAGGAAGGCCCTCACCAGAGGCTGAGTACATGGAACTGCCCCGTCTTGGACTTCTGGCCCCTAAAACTGTGAACTAAATAGACTTCTTTTCTTTATGAAGACCCAGACTCAGGTATTTTGTGATAGCAAGAGAAAACAGATGAATGCAATCATTGAGAGGAAGACGTAAGTTGCTAATACAAATAACAAATCAGTTAATGGGTTATGTGATGATCTAAACAATGAAGAAGAGTGACTTACATGAGCATATTTGAAAATTATTACTTTTCTTTATGATTTGACAGGGATGCTGCTATTGACACAAAGAATATAAAACTCATAATACAACCCTACAAGGAGGAAAAATTAGCTAACAGTGAGTGCCATCAATTCAGAGTATTTAAAATTAGACACACAACAGTAGCAGCAGCAAATTAGAGAAAGTCTAGAATCTTTTTTTAAAAAGATTTATTTATTTATTTGAAAGTCAGAATTACACAGAGACGGAGAGGCAGAGAGAGAAAGGTCTTCCATCTGTTGGTTCACTCCCCAATTGGTCGCAACGGCTGGAGCTGCACCAATCTGAAGCCAGGAGCCAGGAGCTTTTTCCAGGTCTCCCACATGGGAGCAGAGGCCCAAGGACTTGGGCCATCTTCTACTGTCTTCCCAGGCCATAGCAGAGAGCTGGGTCAGAAGTGGAGCCGCTGGGACTCGAACCGTCACCCATATGGGATGCAGGCACTGCATGTGGCAGCTTTACCCACTACGCCACAACACCAGCCCCAAATCTTATAGTTCATATATGACAAAAATTAGTACAAGTTTTCCAAAGTTAACTATAATCCTAGACATTTATGTGTTGGTACCAACAATGATTTATGAAGCTCACAGGTATTTTTCAAAATTGTCTATAAAAATATTTAAGTAAAAAAATGCCTTTTTTTTTCACCAGAAAGACTGATTTATTACATACTACAGGAGCCATTGTTGTGGTGCAGGGGGTTAAGCCACCTGCAACATCAGCATCCTATATGGGTACCAATTCAAGTCCTGGCTGCTCCACTTCTGATCCAGCCCTCTGCTAATGCACCTGGGAAAGCAACAGAAGATGGCTCAAGTGCTCGGACCCCTGCCAGTCATGTGGGAGACCTGGACAAAGTTCCTGCTCCTGGCTTCATTGCAGCCATTTGAGGAGTGAACCAGTGAATAAAACATCTCTCTTTCTCTCTCCCTCTCTCTCTCTCTCTCTCTCTAGCTCTCTCTATAAGTCTGCCTTTCAAAATAAATAAATAATTATTTTTAGAAAAAAGAAAGAAAATATCACAATAGTTTTGTCATATGAAGTGTAACTGAAAAGTACACAGTACTGGGCTGGTGCTGTGGCATAGTAGTTTAAGCATCCACCTGTGGTGCTGGCATCCCATATGGGCACCAGTTGGAGTCCCGGCTGCTCCACTTCCCATCCAACTCTCTGCTATGACCTGGGAAAGCAGTGGAAGATGGCCCAAGAGCTTGGGCCTGTGCACCTGTATGGGAAACCTGGAAGAAACTCCTGTCTCCTGGCTTCAGATTGGCCTAGCTCCAGCCATTGCGGCCATTTGGGGAATAAACCAGTGGATAGAAGACCTCTCTCTCTCTCTTTCACTCTCTCTCTCTCTGCCTCTCTAAAACTCTTGCATTCAAATAAAAATAAATGAAAATCTTAAAAAAAAGAAAAGTATATGGTCCCAAAAATGCGGGAAAAATTATGCAGTATTGCTATGACACTTATACAACAAAAATACTATGGGGATTTTTTTTTTTTGGTGTGTGATTGTGGCATCTAAATATTTGTTAAATATGTAATTAGTACAGCTTTATTATTCTGAACAAGCACTGAAACTTCACTTTGTGTAAGTAATCTTGTCTTCCTTTCTTTTAAAAATTTCAGATTCCAAAAGCAATAATTTATTAACAAGAAACAATCCTAGATCCACTGCTGCTTCTCTTCATTCCAGCTCTGGATTGGTGAAACCATTATTCAGATTTTTAAAAACACCACAAACACACTAAAATATAGTAGGAAAATTCCTAAAATGGGTGACATGAGCTAAGTATGCTTTTTGTATTCTCAATTCTTCCTTAGGAGCTCAGAGATGTTGATTCTGTTTTGGGTTGTGCTAAAGCAATGGTGGCTGTGTTGGGATGGAAGGCAGTTAAGAATGGGGTCTGGGACCACAGCTGTGGGGCAGTGGGTTGAGCCACTGCCTGCAATGCCAGCAGCCCATATGGGTGCCAGCTCATGTCCTGGCTACTCCACTCCTGATCCAGCTCCCTGATAATGGGTCTGGGAAAGTAGCAGAAGACAGCCCAGTGCTGGGGCCCCTGCCACCCATATGGGAGACATGGATGAAGATCCTGGATCCTGGCTTTGGTCTGGCCCAGCCCTGGCTGTTGCAGCCATTTGGGGAGTGAACCAGCAGATGAAAGAGCTCTGTTTCTATCTATCTGTTTGTAACTCTGCCTTTCAAATAAATAAATTTTAAAATTTAGAAGAACAAAAAAAAAAAAAAGAATAAGTCTGAAATCCACAAGCCCTCTTAAAGTTTATAAAATGAAGTGAGGACCACTGTATGTCTCAGTCTTTTCAGGCTTCTATAACAAAATGACATCAACTGGGTGGATTACAAACAGCAGAAATACAGTTTTCATTGTTCTGGGGGCTGGGACGTCCACAATCAAGAAGACACAGATTGAATGTCTGGGGAGGCCCAAGCTCCTGTGCCTGGATAGTGCCTTCCCCTGCATCCTCACATGGCCAGAGGCGGGAGGGAGCTTTGGAGGCAGGTGGATTTTACAAGGGCACTGATCCCATTCATGGGGGCTGTGTCCTCACGACCTAACTCCCTTCACAGCTTCCCCCAACACCATCACCTCGGGGTGAGGGTTTCAACATATGAATTTTGGGGGTAGACAATAATATTCAAACCACAGCACTGCCCTAGGCAACAATATCTAGAGAACACAGGAAAATTTACATTGTGGGGCAAGGCACTTTACAGTAGCGGTTACGATGCCACTTGGGTTGCCTGCATCCCATACAGGAGGGCCTGCCTCAAGTCTGCTCCTCTGCTTCCAATCCATCTTCCTGCTGATATGTACCCTGAAAGGCTGCAGATGATGGCTCAAGTACTTGGGGTCCCTGATACCACATGGAAGATCTAGATTCGGTTCTGTGCTCCTAGCTTTAGCCTGGCCCAGTCCTGAATATTGCAGGTATTTGAGGATTAAACCAGTTGATAGAAGCTGTCTGTCTCTCAGCCTTTCAAATAAAAAAAAAATTACTGTGGACTTGCAGTGTGTTGAGTTTAAATCCTAGTGCTGTCACTGTAATAGTTTTGTGACCATGAGCCATAATGTCTAAATTTATCTAAAACAGGCAGAATATTTAGCTCCTTTGAGTTTTTGTGAAAACTAAATGCTACTTATGAAATTTAGTGAAGCTATAAGAATAAAACAAATAGGGCTATTTTAAAGAGTAAATGTGCTCAGTAATATGTGTCTGTAAATGTTAGCTTCTGTCTTCAATATATAGAGCAGGATGCTGACTTATGCAAAGAATGTAAATTTGTTCTGGTCATAAATGCCAGTGTGTTTTTTGTTACAATGCCAGTGGATCTGCGCAGACTATATGGATTATGTTTCACCCTTTTGCCTAAATCTATTACCAAATAGGGCAATGACATGCATAGCAATCTGCAGAAGAAAAAATAAGAAAGCTATGGTTTGAATATTAGTTTGGGTTTCCCTCAAAGTCCTACGTGTTTAAGGTTTAGTCCACAATATCTTACATTGATAGTACCAAGAGGGTGGGAAATTGACCCTATTACAGTGTTCAGAAGTGAGGTCTATGGGCCAATCTGAGTGATTAGTTTGGTTAAGTTGTTAGTGTGGAACCTCCATGGTCAAATCATGGTGACTTTACAAAGAGAGACATGGACAGACACATGTTCCCTCTTGCCATGCAGTGCCTTGTGCCAACTCAGGACTCTGTGAGCAAGAACACCAATCACCAGATACCGAATCCACAGGGCCACTCAGTTTTGGACTGTGAACCTCCAAAAACGTGAGCCAAGTAAACCCCCCTCCTTCATAAGAAGTTTGCCTTAGGTATTTCATTGTAGTAACAACAAGCTGACATAAAGAATGTCTGGTAACATAGCAAGAATTTTTTAGCATACCTGCTCATCAGGGATTGGTGTAATGGTGTAGCAGACACCGCCATCCTGTACGGACACTGGTCTGAGTCCCAGCTGCTCCACTTCCCATTCAGCTCCCTGCTACTGCATCTGAGAGAGCAGCAGGGGATGGCCAAAGTGCTTGAGCTCCTGCCCCAACATGGGAGACGCAGCAGACGCTCCTGGCTCTTGGCTTTGGCTTGGTCCAGCTCTGGGATACCAAAAAGGTTTACATAAAAGAATGATCAATAAAGCTTTATTTATAATACAAAAATCAAAATAAAGAGCAATAATAAAGAAATGTTACAATACAAACAGTAGAATACTGTATAGTTATTAAATAAGATTAAATAGCAAAATAAATGCATGAAAAGATGTTATGTTGAAAAAAGATAGGCTAAGCAAGCTGTGTTTAAGATTTAATACTCTATTTGTTTAAAGCATGTGTATATGTGTCTCCATAGCCACAGGAAATGCCATAAAGCTTATAAGACACATGCTTATCTCTAATAGAATTGTAAGTCATTTTTCTTTTCTTTTTCTTGTTTTAAACAATTTTCAACATTGACCATGTCCTATTTTTGTAATCTGCAAAAATTTGATGTAACATCTTATAAGGGGGAGAATAATAAAAGCAATCGAGCCAGCTCTGTCTGTCCCTAGTCCAGCAAGCTGTTTCATCCCTAGGCATTCCAGGCGGGCTGTGATGAAGATAGCCGACCTCTCCCAGGCTGGAGGCCTGCCTGTAAAATGGGGATAATAATGGCACCTGTGTCATGACATTGTCATCTGGACAAATGAAATAATCCACAAGAGGCACTGCTTAGCACAGTGTCTGGCACATCGTGGGCCCTCCATAAATAGCAGCAGTCACTCTGCTCTGGGGCACGGCTGGCACTCCTGGCTCACCGGCCCTGACCTGTTCAGCAGCTGTTCTGGGCTTCTTTTCACCCTGGTCATCTGCTGACCTGCCCATCACTCTGCCTTGACAGAGGAACTGGAACACCCCTGGGGAAGGGCTGATAAACATGGACGGGGCTGAACCTTCAGAATGTCTGAGAGGCCGCACCTGATCAGAGCCAGCATTCTGAGAACCAGGTCTCAAAAAGTCTTGGGAGAAGGCGCCCCAAATCCCACACCGTTCCAAGAGTCACAAGGACAACCCTGTGAGCGGCCCCCAGAGAAGCAATGGCCCCAGTTCTGTGGCATTCTGCGTGCCCATTTGATGCCTATCACACAGCTGGAAAGTTAGGAGACAGCGAGGTGCTGCTACCTTCATCGGGTTTTCTTCCTGCAACGCACCACCACACAGATGGGTTTTAGCTTCCCGTTTTCCATCGTGTCTCCTCTTTCCTCCCTTCCCACCCTCCTTGTTTCTGTTTCAGCCTTCTAGCATCTTCCTCTCCAGAGCTGCTCTGCGATCTCTTACACTCACCAACCGCCGCCCCCACCTCCTCTCCTCTCTCTCTCCTTCCTTCCCTTTCTCTTCCTCTTCATCTCTCTTGAGACAGGTCTAGTGGCCTGGTTGCCATCTGCTGCCTTTTTTTTTTATGAGGTTGAGATCAGATGGCATCTAATCGATCGTCATGGTCTCCATGGTTACCAGGGTGACAGAGTACTTGGAAGAGACACATCCTCAAGCCTGGGGCTGTCAGACCATTCCTGAGAAGGGAAAAGAAAATAAAAGCTATTCCATCATTTTTTGCACATTTACATCATTCTCAAATGCAGCAAAACCAGACCCTGTTTATGTTTTTACGTGGCTACTGGTGGCTTGAGCCAGGGAAGACACAGTAGCTTTTCTTCTATTAAAAAAAAATGTCCAAGACAGAAGATTTTGTTTTACCCTCAGAGCACCCAACATGCCCTGCACCCCACACCCCATCCCCTACCACTTCCATACACACAGACCATCACCTTTTTTAATCTTTCCTTTTGTACTGTCTGGGAATTCATTTTGTAATTCTAATGAGTTGTTATTCTTAGAATAAATAACAGTGCAGTTCTAAAACTGGTAACTGACAAGAAAGAGTCACTCATAAAAACACTTTAATCTGGCATTAGGATAAATAGGAACATTACTGTTAGTTATTTTTTTATTTTTATTTTTATTTTTTTGGCTAAGAACTGTTTGTAATACAGGAAGTTGTGTTGAAGAACAATCATAAACGATGCAATGCAAACAGAATGACCTTGTTCTGAATGCAAAATGTGCCTGGGTAGGACAGTTGTCTGCACAGCTTTAAGGCCTGGGGGCTGGCCCATCCTGCCTCACTATCAGAGCATATGATGGTGTTGACAGTCTGAGTCTGGTGGAAAGAGACGTGAGAAAGACCTTGGTACTGATGTATAACTAATGGAATGAAAGCTAAACTTGTGGGGCAACTCAGAGACCAGAAAAGAAAACAGCCAATCATCACACTGTGAAATAACATTAAAGCTGTCGGAAGACGCCTGGCTTGGTCACAACCTTTGATGTCAGGGACCCAGGGCCTGGGACCGCAGGCTGCTCTTGTCTGTTCCTGGTAGATGTCATGCTCGTGACTTAGAAGTTCTGCTCTGTTCTGTCTGCATCAGAGAACACCAAGCTTAAATCACAGCACAGCACGAGGTCTACCTGTAACTGATTCCTTTGTCTCTGACTTGGGGCCGCCTGCATCTTGTTCTGTACAGTATCTTAGTAAGACTCAGATAGATTCATCTGCAGTGCCTTTGGCTGTTAAGCAAATATCACACTGATATTTGAAATAGAAATGATGCCATCAATTGGAGGAGAGACTTTAATATAAAGGGAAAATAATTTATCACGAACACGAACCCTCCTAACCATTTCACACCTGTGCGTCTTGGCAAATGGCTGTCTTTCCTTCCCTCCCTGCAGTCCCCTCCGGTCTCCCCTTCCCCGGGACGGCCAGGGAACTGCTTGTATTTATGTCTCCCCTCCCCAGAAAAGCTTTCCCCGGACCCCCCTTGCAGGAGATCTGAGCTTGTACTGCTCTTTTGGTCTATACTTCCCATCCAGGCCTTAGCTCATGCAGCCTTACACCCTGGCAATATTTGTTATGCACATTACTTGCCTCGTACTCAAATTATAAGCTCCAGAAGTATAATCTGTGTCCTCTACTTCTGCGCTCATCTCTTACTTTGTAACTAGTTAGTCCTCACCAAATATTTGATGATGATGGTGATGGCGGCACTGGGGATGGCTGGCTTTCCTGTTTAACACTTGGAACCAAATTTAGTTCTCAGTGTTTCTTCAGCTGCAGTGCTTTTACCTTGTGTCCGCAAGAGGTCTTCCTCTGCTCCTTGTCCTCTGTTGTCCTCTCGTGCACAAGCTCGCTTCTCAGAAAAGGTGGGCCTCGCCTTGGAAGGACACGAGTCGTTGGCTCCCATCAGGACATGTGCCACAGCGTGGTGTCAACTCACTCTGGCCTTTCCTAAATTGAGTTTGTCAGTGCTCAGCCACACGGCTGAGTGAAACGTTGTGTGATGCGGGCTGTCTCCTGGGAGAGAGAAACTGGCATAAACCACATCCTAATGGGATCCAGGAACAAAGAAGCGTGAATGAAGTGTTAATTGCATTCATAAAGACATTAACAAAGGAATGAAAATGGCAGAATCTTCCATCCCCCACCGAAAATTCAGAGAAAAACATGTCACCCAAAGAATGTTGCAAGAAAAATCAGCCACTTTTATGGCTTGCTCACTGCAGAGATAACTTGCAGTAAATAGTAACTTTTCAAAAAGCAAATAGTTTGTGTCCATTGTCTTAAGCACTGCAAGGAACACAGTGGAATCCACCCCAGCTCTGGTTCTCCTCTTGCTTTTTATGATTTAACTTTCCAAGGACTCCAGAAGCATTTTCAACGCTGCTTCATGAACCGTACCGACCTCTGTCAACAGTTTGAACTTAATCAATCCTACAGATCTTATTAGAGCAACATGGTCATTATCTGGAAGTTTCTTTATGATATAGTCCCTCTTGAAGGAGCACGAGGCGCTCTGCAAAGTGGGCAACCTGGGGCTCCCTTCCCTGGACTTTGCAGAATTCCCCAGCTGCTGACAGCACGGCTGGGCCCGCAAAAGGTCAGGAGACTGGCTGCATTTGACTGAAGATGGATCACTAAATGAACCCTGCACTTGCTTAATGGAGGCAAGGCCATGGACTGGAGGGAGGCCTTGTGCAGTTCTTCACTCAGTTTCACCTTCACAGACCACCCCATATCTTGTGTCTGTGTGCAGCTGGTAACTAAGGGACTAGGTAGGTGGATTTGCTCTAGTGACTGGAAACCTCTCTCAGAACTAAAATATGTGCTCCCTTGGAATGCCAGATAAGACTTGCAGAAACTCTGGGGGATAGCTGTGGAGAGCAGACATCCCCACCCTCATTCTACAGGTAAAATGAAACCTCCAAGATATCAACTCCCAGGACTAGCATTCTGGTATTTTCAGTCACCTGATTGCTCTTCCTATCTCGAGAGTCTAACTCTCAGGATCTCATTTGATTCTCAAAAGAATCCTATGAAGTAAGACAGGCTGTATAAATAGGTGGGTCAGTTTTTCCAGAAACCACATTCAGGCACCCAGAGGAACAGGTACTCTAAAGCCCATTCTAGACTGTGGCTGAACCCCCTGGTTACCTAAGAAACTTATTTTTCAGCCCTGTGTAAATCAGTCATATTCATGCATGTGGCAGCAACCCACTAGATGGAGACAGATTTGAGAGTGACAAAATGTAAGTTGGCTGGGTATCTCTAGGCCGCTCAGCACAGATCAGTCGGCGGAGGGAACTCAGATGCACACACACCTTGGGCACCTTGGCAGAGCCCAAGTCTGGGTCTCTAATTGTTCCTGATTCTTTGTAGACTTTGGGAACATTTCCTCCCAGACATCGCCTGTGCACTAAGTTCTGGAACACTACAAATAAAAATGACCAGATTATATGCTCTTTTCAATTAGTTGTGCCTACATAATGCCACACACTCAAGAGATTATTTTTCATTGTAATACATCCTATAGACTAGTTGATATCATAATTTTCTTTCTTTCCATAAAATAGAATTGTCTTTAAAAAAAAAAAAAACCCTGTTTGTTTATTTATTTGAAAGGCAATAAGAACAAAGGAAAGAGAGAGAGAGCTTCCACCCACTGTTTCACTCCACAGATGCTTTCAACAACCAGGGCTGGGGCAGACAGAAGCCAGGAGCCAGGCGCCAGGAACTCAGTCAAGGTCTCCCGTGTGAGTGGCAGAGACCCATCACTTGCTGCCTCCCAGGGTGTGTACCAGCTGGAAACTGGAATCCTCAGTGGGGCTGGTACTCAAACTCAGGCACTCCAAAATGGGATGCTGGTATACACAGTGACATGTTAACCATTGCCTCAATGGTCAGCCCTTATAATTTCAAATAATGGCAAATTAAGCTACAGCGTATGTATCACCACGTCGTTCACAAGTCTGACCCAAACAGCATTGTGGGATAACACCTTGGTGTTATTAATGTCACTACTGTCATTTACTTCATATGCTTACAATTTCTGTCCTGATTGGGGGATCCTATGATGCCTCTATGATACTCCCAAGGCGGAAGACCAGTAAATTTTAATCTTCCTGTCCATGGTTCAGTGCGGGATGAAAAGATGCCTAATAAATGGGAAAAAACTCAAAGTGAGCAGCAGGTCAATTAGACCTGAGGTTGCTTCAATAAATTCATGAAAAATTAAATTAAAGATCAGTTGATTTTGCTACAAAAATTTTTGAAATCCATAGTTTTCCATAATGTGCATTCTGCATGAATTTTTTGAAGACTCCCTCATATACATGTGTTTCAAACATTGTTTACAACAAAAATGAGTTTATCTTTTAATCCTGTCTTCTGCAAGTGCTTTCGAAGTGCCCTTGTGTTCAATGCAGACAGAGCAGAAGGGCTGAATGTTTTTCCTTTGGACTTTCTGGATCAGAATGCATCACTTCCCATTGCTGAAAAATGCGAACTGAGGACATAGACGAATCTGGTAATGACCTACTTATAGCCAAAGCACCTAGGTGATCATCTTGTCTCTAAAACTTACTTTCTTTCCATTTCTGACACTTGGGTATTGAAGAGACACAGCCTGAGATGCCACCTGAATACTGCAGGCAAAAATGTTGCAGAGTTTATTCAATCCATATGTAAAAATTAAGAGAATGAGTCCATGCCCCTAAATCAACTTTCACAGGATGATCACTTATTCATTTCCATTCATGGAAGTACAAATGAATAAGGCTATTTCCTTGGACTTTACTATTCATTATGGTAACTGCTAACCATATGTGGCTATTTAAATTAGAAGTAAATAAGGAGTGGGCATTTAGCCTTGCAGCCAAGACACACATTACAACACCCACATCCCAAAGGAGAGTGCCTATATTTGAATCCTTGGCTGCACCCCTGATTCCTGCTTCCTGCTAATCCACACCCTGGGAGGCAGCAGGTGACAGCTCAAGTAATTGCGTCCCTGTCACCTGTGTGGACAACCCAGACTGAGTTCCTACCTCCTGGCTTTAGCCTGGCCCAGCCCCAGCTGTTGGGGGCATTTGTAAAGTGAAGCAGTGGATGGGAGCGTTTTCTCCCTCTCCCTCTGAAATAAGTTTTCAAAATTAAATGAATTAAAAATCCATTTCCACATTTTAAGTGCTCAATAGGCACATGTGGGTGTTGACTACTGGTTGGGACAGTACAGATTTAAAGGACATTTTCATCAAAAGACTGGAATTCATGCATGCCACAGAAATGTCACCTGATGCAATTATATAGTGAATTATAAAGTCACTAACAGTACTATCAGTGACAACGTCCCATGGAGCTAGCCTGCTGGGCTGTGGGCATCACTGATGGAGTGGTCTGCAGCCTTCTTTCTCAGAGCCTGAGCCGCTCCTGTGTGCCGCAGGAGAGGATGAGCCCAAATCTCTGGAGAAAGGGCAGGTGCAGACGAGCCATTTCCATTTTCCACTCCTGCAACTCCCAGAACCTCCAGTCCAGAGCTGCCGCCAAGCCTGCTTGTACAGAAGCCCAAACTAAAGTGCATTTTGGATAAATGCTCTGGCTGTTATTTCTTTGCAAAATCCATCCTTGCCTTTGATTACGGGCTTTCTCTCCTCTTGCCATGAATTTCAATGAGTCTGAACCTAGCCGCATTTTCCACCAGCCATGACATTTAGCACAGGCTGTGACCACAGGAAATAAGGCTTCAGACAAGCAAGGATGATGAGACTAAAAAGGATAGTCCAGAGCTCCCCAACTGAGTACTTTAAAGTGAATACTTTAGGCTCATCAACACAAAGTTGGAAAAGGTGGAAGAAAGTGGGAACATGTCCAGTCAGTACTGACTTTGAACTTGCAAAAGCTGAAAAGCAATAAACCAACAAGCGTACCCAGCACTCCGGCAGACCTCACCGGGACTGTCCTTGGTACATGAAGAGATGGAGGCACAATGCTTTCACAAGGTGGCTTAAAGTTATTTGCAGGATGACCACAAGATTTCAAAAAGTTCATGTAAATGAAATTAAAATATAGTTTCTCTTGATGCAAAAAAATTTTGAAATTCATGCATAGTTTTTTCCAGGATGTGCATTTCCACGAACTTGTTGAAGACCTGCCCCATACAACTCTCAAAATGCTTTTATCATGTAGTTTGTCAGGGTGGGCTGGTTGGACTCGTGTTTTATCCTCCTGGGAGGCTAAGCCACCTGAAACTGCTAATCTCACATATTTGCATCCTACAAGTACATGATACACTGGGAGGTGCCCAACACTTTGGTTCAATCCAATCAATAAATATTTATTGAACACATCAATGAACAAATAAGGAGACTGAACCAGCAAATTTGTCTGGCCTGTATTATCGTAACTTTTAGCTGATAGCTATAGAAAAGCAGGGAGAGAAGAGGAGCAGGATTTGAGAAAAGACAGAGATTTTGAGCCTATCACAACTGTCATCTCACAGTTTCCTTTGAACCTCCATAGCAATAGGATGGGAGAGAAAATATTGTTAAGGGCAACTGTACATTTCAATTTGCGGAGTGGAGTCACAGAAGATGTGCATCCAATCTGTTTTTTCCTGTACAGAATTTCCTTCCTGACATCCTTGCTAGAAGTGAGAACCCAAAAGTCTTGTATTAATTGGTGTTGTACTGCTTTGCATGAATAGCTGAATGGCACAATGAAAGAGTTAACTGACACTGAAATAATTAACACAGGGGCAGGCATTTAGCACAGCAGATAAGATGCTGGTGAAGATGCCCGCATCCCATCTCTGACTACCTGTGTTTGAGTTCTGACTCTATTCCTGATTCCAGCTTCCTGTTAACGCCCACCCTGGGAGGCAGCAAAAGATGGGTAATGTAGTTGATAATGGATTGAGCACCTGGCTTCACTCTGGCCCGCTCTGAGCATTGTAAGTATCTCTGCTCCTTCCCCTCTCCCTCCCAAATAAATTAAATAAGTAAGAATTTAAAAAGAAAAAT